TGTTGGTTTTTTTTTTTGCAGAAACGAAAAAAAACGATGATAATATGTTTTTAATGAGCAAAAAGCGAATCGCTTTCGAAATTATTAAACTCTCTGCATTATTTTTGATAATAGTAATGATTGTGTGTTGTTATTTTTTTAATTCGCTGTTCTTTGAAAATCGGGGAGAAAAAAAAAAGTTCCGAAAATTTAAACGTGAATAATCAATTTGAAAGAAGGGGGCGGAGAATGAAACGGAACCAAGTTTGGAAAAAGCGGCACAAAAATGAATCAAGGCAAAAAAAAGGTTCATAATTTAATCCATATTTTTCCATTCGGTTCAATTATTACAACTGAACTCAATGAACACACAATATACATTTATCATTGAATGATTATTATTGTTTAATATACTGTTAATATTTTTTCATTTGGATTTTCACATTGCGTCGGTCGATTGGTTGGTATCGAATAGCTTCCTGAAGCAGATAAATGCCAAATGATGCGATCTCATCATTCATTTTGATTGTATGCATTTTCACTACAAGAGTTTTGCGAAATCGAAAGGGATTCATTTGGTTTGTCTGCTTAGCAGTAGTTTTCTCTGCATACCGTTTGGAAGATGCATGATTTCCATTCGTTTTTGTTTTTGCCTTGTTTCAAATGACGTCCGCTTATATTTGAATACGATGTAAAAATCTATGCTTCGTTCTTTGACTTTGGAAATAATTGCAGATTTTGTTTTATTTAATTCTTGTAATTGTTATCATTGTTTAGTGTCTGCTTTTTGTAAATGTAAATGTGGTTTTATTTTGTGTGTGTGTGTGTGTGTGTTTGTCGTATCCAGTATTCGTATGTATTTCATTTTGTTTTGTTTTGTTGTTCTCTAGGGATTAGGTATTTTCATATTTTATTTACAATTACAATTAAAAAATAACGAAGCAACATTGACGTTAAAATTTGAATTTCTTACGCTTTTTTTGCATTACACTTTTTTTTGCTTTCTTTTATGAATTTTGTTTTTTCTGTGTTGGTTTTTCTGTTGAATATTTTTGTTTTCTTTTCCTGCAATCATTTGTCTGACCTTTCCCGTAGTTCATTCGAATACGCAAGTTGCATTCGTTTGTTTGTTTTGCAATATTTGAGTGTTTGTGAGTGCGTTACAATTCTTTTCTTCTCTTTTCTTTTCTTCTTCTTCTTTTTCAATTCTACTTAAAATCACATTACGTATATGATGCTTGTAAATGTTACCAAGTTTTCTTTCAATATTTTTCATGCTTTGTTCATATTTTTTGTTGTTTTTCGGTTTCATTTCACTTTATTCTTTTCTATAATTAAAAAATATATATTATTATATGTACTATTATTATTACGTATCATTATGATGCTATTGGCCATGTGCGTTGCCATGTCCGCTGGATTTGAATGCCGAGTGCCCGCCAAATGTTCAATTTGTGCATCCTCTCTTATACATTCTTGTTTTTCTTTTCTTTTCTTTCGGTTCGTTTGTTTGTTTTCTGTTTTTTTGTCCAGACACATGACATGATTTCTGCAGGTGTCTTGGAAATCCAACTGGCATGGCATCGCTTACATCGCAATTTTTGTATTGACAGTATACGAATTTGAATATTATACAAATATTATTACGTTAGGTTCTATTCAGAAAATGAAATTATGTAGTTGCAACAAATGAAATGCCCATATAGCTTTTTGTTTTTAACAAAACGTGTTCTCTCTTCGATTATTGTGTTCTTGGTATTCGTGTAAGCTTTGTTAAATACAACACTCGCCCTTGTCATTGTATTTATTTAGCGTTTTCTTTATTTCTCATTCATTTCGTTTCGTTTTATCCTTTAGAAATGTATCTCTTTCTGATTATTTTAATTACTCATGTTATTTTTCTTTTCTTTTTCACATTGCGCTCGAGAAAATGTTTCAAATTTTACCTTAGAAAAATTCTCAATTTCTAGATTATTAATATAATATTTGTTTTCGTTTAAGAATCCTTAACATTTAAATGTTGTTAGCACGAATAGTAAACAAAAATTCAAGAAATAACTTGTTAGTATCGTTTCGTATACATTGGGTTTGAACTGTATGTTTTATGCTGGGTTGCGACATCAACAATGATCAAAATCATTCGTCGAAGAACACTCGGATACAAATGTTCTCTTTTTTGTCTCTGTGTTCAATACAGGTTTTGCTTGTGCTATTGTCTTTATTGGCATTTGAAGTATATATCACTATCAAATTGATGAATTTTGCATAAAATTTTTCGTCTTCGTTTCTTTTTCTCGCCGTTCAGCACGGCAAATAAATGCAAAATTGAAGGAAAACTGATAGCAGAACGAAATTAGATCGTTTGATTCGGTGATCATTTGAGCGTGATTGACGCCCAAAAATGGTTTGTGGCAGCCAAATTTTGTATGAAGTTTTGAATGGTTCCAGTTTTCATTTTTTTTTTTTGGGGGGTCGTATGAGTTATTATGAAAATAATAAAAAATAGTTTTACTCGCTATTTTCAACTTCGAGTTTGTGTCTGTAAATTTTTTTGCTTTGCTCTTCATCCATTCGTTAAAATTTATCGTATACATTGGTTTTTGTGTCATTATCACACACAAGCATACAAAAAAATGCGCGCACAAAAATTTTTCGCTTTGTACCACTTATTGTGTTCCTTATCTCAATTTCAATATGTATAATTAGACGAAAAAGGAAAAAAAAATCCATGTTATGCTTATCATTCTTTTCCATTCCATTCAGTCATTTTTTCGTTACGTATATAGGTTGGTTTGTTTTTTTTTTTCTTGACAGGTGATCATTGAAAATGATATTTGGATCATTTGTTCAACAAAAAAAAATTCTCCATTCCATCTATCTGTTGCTCCATTTATTCATGTCATGCGATGAAAAACGGACGACAAGAAACTCTTTTCTAAAACATTTTAATCGTTTTTCTGTTTGTCCTAGAGGTTTTTTCCGAGTTTTGCCGATTCGAATTGATTGGTATCATTGGTGGCAATTTATTTGGAGAGCAAAATAAGGGTGGCAGAAGTGGCGAATTTCACGAGAATTAGAAGGTGAGGTGAGAAGAGTGCAAGAAAAGTGACTTGGTAAATTTCTTCTCCATTTTCGTGTCGTTAAAGATGAGTGAATGATTTGTTATGAATTACGAAGTTTGTTACGATAAACATGTTGGAAAAAGAAAACTGAGTAGAACGTTTAGATATACAGCAATAGGAAACATGTTTGTACTGAAAAAAAATTGCATTCATTGGGAATATCGGTCGTTGGCCTCGCGCGCTTCATCGTACAAAAATCGTTCGCTACCGCGAAACCGAGGACCAGCCAACGACACTTCCTCACACCATCCGATTTGATGGATGTGAAAATAAAATGAATGGATTCCAACGTTTACATGTTTTATGGTGTCAAGTAGGGAATATGATAATTATATAGATTGTTGTTGTGGTTGTTGTTGTGTGTGTGTGTGTGTGTGTGTGTGTGTTCGTGAGAGTTTAAATATAAGTAGAGATAGGATGGATAAGTTTTAGTCTACGAATTAAATTAATTTACTTTTTTTTTTTTCTTAAAAATGTCTCATTCTAATTACTTGTTGATCAGAAGAACAAAAAGGAAATACATTTATACATGCAATCAAGAAATGTTATGCATATATTGATATAAGTGCGCCGTGACACGTTTGAGCACTTTCGCTTACGTATTTATGGTACAAAATCGATCGATTTCAACAGCAAATCGCAATGTTAATTAAGAGCGCCGACTGTAATTGGGTCGGTGTGTGAATGTTATTATTGTTATTATTAGTTGGTGCTGTTGAGATGGGTAGCGGTACAATTACCACCATTATGTGAGTACGAATCTGTGCAATGTGCGGTGTCAATGCGTTCGTGCGTACTTATATCAATATATGGATTAGATTTTTGTGTTTGTTTTTGTTTGTTTGTTTGTAAAAAATAGTAATTGGCGAGCTAAATTGCTATATGGGCCTCTTGCAAAAACGAAGGTTCATTTGTTCTCATTTTCCTTAGTTTCTTTCTTCTTGCTTATTTTCTTCAATTGATTACTGCATCATTTTTCTTAAGTTTCGTTACGTATATCTGTTTCATTTCATTTTTTTTTTGTTTCATTTCATACTTTCGAAAAAGATTTTTTTGTTTTGTTTTCATTTAATACTTTTTTGTGTGTGTTCATTGGCTTCTCAAATGAAAGTATCCTAAATTAACGCACTCTCACTTCAATCAAAGAATCAAATGCCTGAGCACACATTAAATATATTGACACGTATAAGAACTGAAATATGCGAACAAATTGGATGTGGTCTGTGATATTATTGTACCTGAGATGAAGAATTATTTGTTTATTCGTGTTTTATGTTTGTCGTTTGTTTGTTAAACATTTTTTTTTACGTTTATGTTATGTGTATGCTCGATATTGGGCCAGTGGGCATGTGATAGATGTTTTGGAATTCGAAAGCGAGCCCAACTCGATCAAACAAACAAATATCGATTATAAACACGTTGTAAATGCAATTAATTCACATTCGCGTTCAACATTTCTCTCTCTCTCTTATGCGTGCCACAATGTTTAGTGTGTGTCAGTCATCCATATTTATGTTCTTTCAATACTTTTGTTTTGTTTTTTTTTTTTAATGAGTGATTTATGCTTGTGCTTTGATGTTTTTTTGTTATCAAATTTCTTAATTTTTTTTGTAACTGTTTTTATGACTTTTCGTTTGTTTTAAATTTATTTTAATTAGCCTTTATGGAATATTTTTATGCATTTTTTTGTTGTTGTTTATTTTTGTGTTTTTATTTTTATCGAAACAAGATCAGTGTACGCGTGTGTTCTCAAGCGAAGTTCTGGCCATATTCCCACGGCATTGTGAGCACCCGCTTCGTTTTTGCAAGAAGGTCGTAATTGTACTACGAACATGGGTGCACCACCGCATTGTAGCTCGCCAATAAAGGACCATGTGCTCCCGCGAAGGGGGTACTCACAACGTCTGGTGTACTCGCTCCGTCAGTGTGTGATGTTGAATCAGCATTACTTCTACCTTCACCATTCGCAGAACCGCCCAATTCTGGCGGTTTGGTGGTGTCCCGTTCGTCAATCACTAAATCTATTGGCATTTTACCCTTCAGGCATGTTATATATCGATGACAGAAATTATCGCATAATTCGTGAACCTGCAACAAAATAAATAAGACGTTGAAAAATACAAACAAATCCAAATCATTTATCAATTACAGATGAAAATTTTAAATGTTTTCGTTATTCTTTTTTTTTCTCAAAATGAATATCGTTCCGATTATGCGAGATGAGTGTTGTTGTTTTACTTTCATTTCTGGTCGAAAATTCAATTTATTCCCGAACCGAAAAAAATGTACGCAGAAAAAAAAACTGAAATCAAAAGCTTACAATCTACTATCGTTTGCCGCACAAAAGACTAAAGACGCAACTTCTCGTAAGACAAATGTTTATGGCTTGAATCTGACAGTTTTGCAACGAGACGAAGCCACAACACGCGCAAACGCGTTAATTGATTTGAACAGAATATGCTTTGATGTAGGTATTACAATAAAAGTAAACCTAATTCACGCCACACCAATCGAACAATTAAAAAAAAAGCCCCATTGCACGCGCACACGAAACAGTAGAGTGCACATCTGACATCTTTTACTATACTCTGGTCAGCCACAAAACTATAAAAAAGCACATACACACAATAACGCAGCAATGAACATAAGCAATTAATGCTATGATTTCGGTTTGTGGATGTGTGGATTTGGTGCGCGCACGTTCATTGCTTAAATACAGACCATAAAACGTTTTCGAAGCTTCGTTTTTCTTTGGAATAAGATTTACGATTGTAATAAAAAAATCTCCTAATTTGTTTACATCCCAAATTCTCTAAATTGTGATAATAAAACCATAAATTCTTAACTCGTTAACCACTTCATTATTTTTTTCGTCTGGCATTGCTTCTTTCTGTACCACACCGAACCGAACTGAACCACACCAGGTTCAACAAATATTCATCGAAGTGTCATAATCGTCAACATGCGAAAATTCATGCGATGTTCGGTGCTATTCGGTTTTTTTCGTTTTATATTGTTCACACAACAACCACATTGAGCCTGAGCCAGTAGCGGAATTCCATTTGGGCCGATAGTCTGCAGGCAATGCCATTCCGCTCATTTTTAAATCAAATTTATGCCATTGAAATTAGTTTCCGATTACATTATTTCACTTTGAAAATGCTGTGCGACAAAGTGAAATCGTTTTATTCGCTAATTTTTAATAGATCCAATGCCCACATGAGCTCGTGACTTTTGTTCTTATCTTTGACATAGATTCTGCTACCTTTAGTATTTTTGCAGCTACCGTAGTGATCCAGTACAAAGCAGCATCACGCGCTCTACCCATAAGTAATGATCTTGTATGCATTCTAGCTACTTGAGCCCAGCACAACGTACGTGGTGCCCGACTTTGCTGCGCCTATGGATTCCGATTCGCAAACAATTAAAGGCATATATATATATATATATATATAAAATGGCAGCAGCCAAATAGGACAATAAAAAAGAGTAGCAAGACAAAGTAATAATAAAAGTGCACTATGTTGTACAGTTTATCGCTGTATATCTCGCAATGATTCGAACAAATACTGTTTGGCTTGGCCGTACGGTTCGGTTCGCTTCGGTTCGGTGCAGCCAAGGCACAAATTGTTTTCGAGGCGAATTTCGGTGCGCATTAAAAGCGAATATGCCAAAGTGATGGAAAAACAGTACGAGTTTGTGTCGATAACATGCACTCTACAGTCGCTGTGCTGTCGATGCATTGGCAATAGTTTTTATTGCAACTTGTTCTATTTTTCCCTCTGGATTTTGCCGGTGCCTCTCTTCAATTTTTATGCACCATCAATGCTAATGCATTGTGCGCGACTTCGTGTTTTTGGGCGCATTTTTTTTCGCCGCTTCATTCGCATTTCATGTAGCAAACCTGCAAACGACAAATTGATTGCATAATCAAGATTTGAAACTGGTTGAAAGGAATAGCTGCGAGAGAGAGAGAGAGAGAGAGAGGGAGTTCAACCGTTGTCGTGCTACCGCTCTCTTGTATGCCGCGAAATTTTAAAATGCGCTAATAATTCGAATTTCAACTCCTTGTCTGTCTCCTTTCGATTTTGTCATCGACATAGATACGTATAGCATATTTACATGTTCACAATCGAACTAAACTCGCGTCAATTGTTCGTGTTTGGCGCACATTTGGTGAGTGTGCGGGTTTTTGTTCTGTCTCTGCACTCGATTCGAAACTAAATACATTTTATATGTATCTGCGATTCGGTTGCAAGGGATATGCACATGTTGATTAGCATAAAATCCATGTACGATTTGTACTAATTTTTTGTCCGTGATATTTTCATGCATTTTTGTTGTTTCTGTTTTTCGCTTGGCCGACGCAGATTTATCGCTTCGGTTTTTGTTTTGTTGTGCGATTCCACCAAAGCTCGAATTCGAGCATGTTTTGCTCGATGCTCATGTAACCGAATACAATTATCGAAAGTGATATACTTTTCGTTTTGGTGCAGGTCATTATCTCGAAGCATCCCAATGCACAGGCCTCTTTCTATCCCTCTTTCGCACTTGTGATCTAAATAAACAAAGTTCACACGAACGAATTTCAATACCTCATTTGATCAAGTTAAAGTAAATATCGAGTGAATAAATATAAAACTTGGGTAGAGTCGTCATACCGTTTGTGCTTCGGTGACATTCACTTTAACGTGACGAGACGATAGCATCTCATGGCGATGAATAAAACGTCATATCTCGATATCGTCATCGATGGCACAGCAAATAGCAATTGAAGTAGCGACATCCTTGAGAAGACATTCCCGACTCGTTTTTTATCCACCTACTTCAGGTACACAAGTTCAGGAATTTTCAATAGCAGTCGACGTAATAAACGGTAAATGTAAACGTATTGAATAAATTTCTTTTGGATAGATATTCTTGGGAAAAAATCCGTACGGAGAATTCCGTTGCTCACGTACGTTGAAGTGGACGACAACACATTCAAGTGCGTCCAACTGGGCTCTCAACACTTCTACAAGTGGATTTGGTGAATACAATGGCTTCTCCCGGTTTCACAGTGTCGCTTCGACGGATGTTTTATGCACGCATATTTAATTCGGAAGTACCGATCGGCCACGTTCATATCAATCACTCTGAATATGCTGTATCCGAAATGTGGACAAAAACGAAGAAACACATTGGATTGAAAACGGATCGAAAAACCTTTTACAATTGAGCTGTTTACCCAAATGCAGTTAAAGATACGTATTTTGTGCAGTTTTATTCGTATTTTTCATTAGAAGCACCGAGAATAAAAAAAACGTACGAAAGTTGGAGTGACAACCTTGCAATCCACAGCACAATGGTACAAGACGCGAATGAACAGGCATCAAAAAACAGCCACATATGACCTCATTGTTTCATTATCATTGATATTGTTATTGTTGTTGCCGTTGACATTTGCATTCGAAAATAGCAAAGTTTTTAAATGGTCGTGCCTATATAATTTTGCATTGAATTTAATAGAATAATGCTATTTCGTCGACCTGCTAACAATAGATACGGTGCGGTGAACAGTTAACACAAATAGAAACTCAAGAATGGAAATAAATTTTATGACACTAGAAAATCAAAAAATCAGAACACAACATAACACACAGAAGTGTGGTGGTTGTGCTACTGCTGCTGCTGCTGGTGGTGGTGGATGTTCTGGTGTTGCAGCAACTATGCAAAGCAACAAACTAGAACAGTGACTCGATTTGTTAGAAATAAGTGTACGTGTTTCTCTTTCTGTGTTTCTTTGTCTGTCTGTCTCTCTGTGTGTGTGTGTGAATGACAGCACCATTTACAATGTACAACAAAGATGTATTTTGTGTACATGTTTTCGAATCCAAAGTTCTGTCTTCTTTTGTTTCTCTTTAGTTTATTGCTGGCTAAAACCTTACGCCAAACATTTTCACAATAAACAATCAAGCAAAAGGAAAACGGTAACGATAACATTATACAAATATGTTTATTATTAAAATGTCAATTGATTTCTTTCTACGTTGCTACGTTGATGCAAGTACTTTTTGTGTGTGCTATTTCTATTGCGATATTGCAGTTGCGCTCGCAAAGCTTGAGCTGCGGTCTTGTGTGAGCATGGGTATGTGTGTGTGTTTGGTGCAATAATCGTATAAGAATCGGAATCGAAAAGAGAATGGCAGCAGCAATTCCGATTGTGTGCCGTGTTCTGTGTGTCTGTTGCAAAGGTAAGTTTGGACTTTTGTGCACACATCTTAACGTTTCCGTTTGATGGTGTTCGTACCCGATTCAGCTTAATGTTGCAACAGAAATTTAAAATGTAAAATTATTGCGGCATAACAAGAAAACCAAAATGAGGAAAAATATCGCGGCATCACAATTGTAACAAATAATGAAAGAGATACAGCGAGTCTAGAAGAAAAACCAAGTTGTTGTTGTTGTTGTTGTTGTTGTTGTTGTTGTTGCGAGATAAAAAAAAGAGGTTAAGCAGATGTAGTTTGGATACATGTTTACATAGAAACTTGTGCAACTAAAGGTTCAGATACTGTATGCCGAAATGATGAACGGAAAGCGAATTTTGCAAATCAACAAGTCGAGTTTGTTCAGTGGACAATGTAAATCGGATTCGATTCGATTCGATTCGTTTTTAGTATTATGTGGCAAATTCAGCTAGAAAAGTTCGTTTCATTTGAAGAGATTGAAATGTGTTGGCTAACGGTTTCAATACAGAGAGAATTAAATAGTCAAGTGGAAAATTGCTTCAATGCAATTCCGGCCAATTTGAAAGCAAGCTAAAAAACACCGTATACTCAAATTGTTTTGCTTAGGTTCCGATTCACGAACGACAAAATATCCAGCACATTTTTGTTATTCGTTATCTGCTCTTCGAAATCATTCGTTCTTCGCCGCATACCTAAGACTATTCTGTCATTCTCTTAATAATATTTTCAACATTTTGAACGAAAATGTAAAATAAATCGCAAGAGTGTGAAAGAGAGAGAGAGAGAGAGAGAGAGAGAGAGAGAGAGTACGGGATGAAGAGAGAGAGAAAACTCGCGGCTCAGTGAAACTAACTTGCGATA